GTCTCAAACCCATGAGCTCAGGCAATCCACCTGCCTCGGCCTCCCAGGGTGCTAGGATTACAGGTGTGAGCCACCATGCTCAGCCTGGTAAGTGTCTTTTGCATTTGCATTTACTAGGAGTAAATGATTTATTCCATGCAAAACACTCAGAACAATACTTGGTACATAGTAAACACAATAATTATTATCTTTTACAACCCATTGAATAATGGGATTACAGATAGCTTTTATTTACTGCTTTATATACATACTTCTTGTGTATTCTACATTAACCTTGGTGAACTTTGCTATTATAATCAGAAAATAATTTTAATGCTGACTTTCAGTTCATTATACACTAGAGGTTGCACTCTATACTAGAAGTTAATGCGCATTTCTGTTGCACCCGCTTGTAAATGTAGTTCCTCTGCAGTTCATCTTTCCCTCCTCCCCTCTCGCAGGGTCCGCGGCCATCATGGCATATTAGAGGCAGTAGTGCCTGCGGCAGCAGCATCAGGCTCTGCAGCGGCAACCCCCAGCGGCTTAAGCCATGGTGCTTCTCACAGCATCCAGCAGCAGCATTGCTGTAACCAACAAAGACACCGTCAAATTAAGTACATTCCTGAACTTCAGCAAAGCCCCACAACATGACCAAGATGAGCTTCCTGAGCAGCAAGGTGTTGGCAGGGAACTTGATGTCCCCCTCAACCAGTCAGGTTTGGGGGGCTGAAGAAAGCCTAAATCTCTTAGATGATCTCTGGAGGTGGTCAAGCCCTTCAAACCTCATGGGTTCTCCAGTGACAAGGCTAAGGCGAGCTCCTCCCAATGGCTGGCTGTGGATGGGTTGGTCAGTGTTTCCAACAGATTGGATGTTGGAGAAAATGGATCTGAAGGAGTTTGACTTTGATGCCCTGTTGGGTATGGATGACCTGGAAACCATGCCAGATGAGCTTTTGGCCATGTTGGATGACACGTGTGATCTCTTTTCCCACCTAGTCCAAGAGACTAATAAGGAGCCCTCTCCCTCACCCCCGACAGTGAACCCAATTGGCCATCTCCCAGAAAGTTTAACAAAAACCAATCAGGTTGCCCCCTTCACCTTCCTCTTCCTCTATGCCCAGGGGTCCTGTCCTCTACTCCAGATCATTCCTTTAGTTTAGAGCTGGGCAGTGAAGTGGATCTTTCTGAAGGAGATAGAAAGCCAGACTCTGCTGCTTACATTACCATGATTCTTCAGTGTGTAAAGGAGGAAGACACCCCCTCAGATAATGACAATGGCATCTGTATGATCCCAGAGTCCTATCTGGGCATTCCCCAGCATAGCCCTTCTACCTCCAGGGGTTCTCCAAATAGGAGCCTGCCATCTCCAGGTGTCCTCTGTGGCTGTCGGCCCCAAACCTTACGACCCTCCTGGAGAGAAAATAATAGCAGCAAAAGTAAAGGAGGAGAAGCTGGATAAGCAGCTGAAAAAAGGGTGGTGCCTATGGCTCAAAGGAGTAGGGCGCTAGCTCTATATGCCGGAGGTGGCGGGTTCAAACCCAGCACAGGCCAAAAACTGCAAAAAAAAAAAAAGCTGAAAAAAAAAATGGATTAAAACAAGACTGGGCCACTAGGTACCGCCAGAAGAAGAGAGCAGAGCAGGAAGCCCTTGCTGTGGCCAAGGAGATCCAGTACCTCAAAAATTTGATTTGGAGAGGTCTGTAAAGCAAGGGGGAAGAAAAGGGTCCCCTATTTAGGGCAGAGTGTTGTATGCTTGTACATAGTCTCCAGTGCTGAAGCTGTGTTACAATAAATTATTCTGTAGTGGAAAAAAAAAATAGAAGTTAATGCTATATAAATAAAGAATAACACTAATGTTTTACTAAACTTTATTGTGCAAAACAAAAAAATATATTGTGACTTTATGAAGATTTTCTCCCCTCCAAGAGCATAAGTGAAAACCAGTAACTTACAAAAATATTTTTATTTAGGACTCATTAGATAGCATGCATATTTATATTTTGTCTTCTACAGATTTAATAGTGAGACACTCACCTGAAAAATGTTTTCCCCTGGAAATCCATAGTTTCTTAACTCAGCTGACCTGTTAAGAAAGTCCACATACTGCCCCCACAACCATTCTTGACTAGTGAATTAATTAAAAAAATAATAATTTTTAAAAAGTCCACATATATCAACTTTCTGCCAATCTGGAGAAGATTTGTTTTCTTTGATCTGCTGTCATGTGTTCACAAGCTTCCAAAATGTTTGCCAAAATTAAAGTCTGCTGAATGGTTTTTGCCTTAACCCATATTCTTCCATTCATTCCGAATACTATCTCCAGTGGATAGAGTTTTCCCACTTCTTGTATAATTTCACAGTCTGGAGCTAAGAGCCTGGTGGGAAAGAGTAAAGAAAAATGAAACTTAATGAAGTGATAGGCGTGCGTCCTGACTCTCTTTTAGGAGATTGATTTTCTGGGTAGTTCTTCACAGTTATTCAAAGCCCCACCAACATTCCAAGAACAAGGAAGCTCCCTTTCTTCCAAGAAGCTTTACACTTTCCAAAGGTGTTCTCGTGGGCTAGTCCCTACAAAGAAATCAACCTCCTTATGTTACCAACTTTGTAAAAATGTACAAAGTTCTTCCCCTAGATTGTCAGAGTACCTTAATGGATGTAAAGTCATAGCTTTTTTTGTTATCTACAGTGGTAAAAGAATACTTACATTCCTGACTATGTAAGTTACTCCTTCATATTAAATTCAGTATTTGCAGAGGAACCCTGGTTCTTTTAAACCACAAAGGTGCTGCTTGGTTAACAACACAATTCTCTAATGTCCCTAACTAATTCCCCAAATCTGTAAGATAGGTAGCAAGGACAGGCATACAAGATAGCCCTGGACTACAGTGACTCTCGCAGTAAAGTCCATAGATATGGCATAGCTTTGGGGAGGTAAAGTTATAAACACCTGGAGAATCTGCTTAAGTGGAAACTATAAAGTTTACCAGGACAGAGTGGCAAGAGCCTTCTATGACTGTCTATGTAACCTAGAGATCACATCAGCCTGGCTACATTTGGCCTCTATTAGAGAAATTTTATAATTTTGTACAATTTCAGATTGTATCTGTCTTCAAGTTACTTAGGCCAGTTTTCCTATTTGGTCTCAGTATGTCAGCTAGGGCATGGGCCTGAGAGAAACCATGACCAAGACAGAATAAAAGTTTGAAGTATAAAGTATTAGCACATCAGAAACACACCAAAAACTATACAGCTAAATACATTTGATTTTGATATATTTACATTAAGGTAGAACTAAATTAATGAGTTTACAAACATGTTAAAATGGACATTGCTGTTTAATTGAGGAGAAATTCAGATGTCACAAAGAATCCAAATACCAAAAATTAGTCAGCTTTTCAAGAAGGTATAATTACAAAAGAAAGCAGGTAAACCAGCCGGCACCAGGACTTACTTTCTAATTAGGCCCAACGTCACTTTGAAGAGCAGACCATCATGCCCAATCACACCCATTCCATTGGCCCGTCCACAGCTATCAATACAGACCATCTCTGGTTCCATATCCTTATTAGCAACTACAAACTGCCCATAGATGAGATCTCCAACCTACAGGAATATTAAAAATCAGTTAATTTCCTCTTGGTAAACCATTCTATAGGTGCTGCTATTGGTTATTTCCCACAGGTAGCAAAGCCAGCCACATAACAGTTCCATGGCTACAGTGTTGACTATGCTATAGGATTCGCACAGTCACTTTGGAGTTGAGTCTTAAAAGAGGGCAAAATTAACACATACCTTTCCCCCTTCACCAACCAGAAAATTTGTAGACAAGGAGCCATCTCAAGACCAGAGAACACACTCCTACGCTGTACTATCCCTATAGTGGCTAGTACCCACATGTAATTATCTAAACTTCCATTTCATTAAAACTTGATGTTTAAAATATAGTTCCCCAAGGCTGGGTACAGTGGCTCATGTCTGTAATCCTAGCACTTTGAGAGGCTGAGGTAGATGGATCACCTGAGCTCAAGTGTTTGAGACCAGCCTGAGCAAGAGCATCACCCCGTCTCTACTAAAAATAGAAAAAAAAAGGTCGGGAGTGGATTACCTTACACCTGTAATCCTAGCACTCTGGGAGGCTGAGGAGGGTGGGTTGCCTGAGCTCAGGAGTTCGAGACCAGCCTGAGCAAGAGCAAGACCCAGTCTCTAAAAAATAGCTGGACGCTGTGGTGGGTGCCTGTAATTCCAGTTACTTGGGAGGCTGAGGCAAGAGAATTGCTTGACCCTAAGAGTGTGAGGTTGCTGTGAGCTATGATGCCATGGCACTCTACCAAGGGTCACAAAGTGAGACTGTAATAAATAAATAAAATTCAGTTCCTCATTTGCATTAACCACATTTAAAATGCTCAACAGCAGCACTTAGGAGGCGGAGGCAGGTGGATTGCCTGAGTTCACAGGTTTGAGACCAACCTGAGCCAGAGTGAAACCTTGTCTCTAAAAATAGCCAGGCGTTCTGACAAGTGCCTACAGTCCTAGCTATTTGGAAAGCTAAGGCAAGACAATTGCTTAAGACCAGGAGTTTGAGCTTTCTGTGAGCTATGATACCACAGCACTCTTCTAAGGTGACAAACTGAGACTCTGTCTCAAATTAAAATAAAATGCTCAACAACTAATGGGGATGTCATCATCATAGAAAAGGGAGTGGAGTTGGCATCATCATAGAAAAGTATTATGAGACAGCACTACTCTAGAGAATTACAGATTTATGTACAAAAGAAGCAACTCCTGGCATGTAAATTATTTAATGCAAAATAGAACAGTGGTAATTCATTGACACTTCTCGAAACAAAATTTACTTAAAAAACCTCAGAGAGCTGAAATGATCAAACTGGGGAAATGGAGACTGACCTTCCTCTGTTCAGTCAATAAAATGTTGTAATAAAATTGGGTACTGTAGTTCATGCCTGTAATCCTAGCATTCCAGGAGGCCCAGGCAGGTAGACTGCCAGAGCTCAGGAGTTTGAGAACAGCCTGAGCAAGAGTAAGACCTACTAAAAAAACAGAAAAATTAACCAAGTATGGTGGTGCATGCCTGTAGTCTCAACCTACTTGGCAGGTTGAGGCAAGAGTATCATTTGAGTGTAGGAATTTGAAGTTGCTGTGAGCTGACATCACAGCACTCTACCCAGAGCAAGAGAGTGAGAGTGTCTCCAAACAATTAAAAAAAAAACAAAACCCACTATTATATTAAATACCCATTCTTTGTTGGTGACTATGGAAACTGGACAGGAAAAAAATGTTATCTGCTTTACAGAAGTATTTAGTCTTGGGAGTATAGCAAGAATGTACATACAAAACTTCATTCAAGGTTAAATCCAGTAAGTGATACAGCAAAGGTATTTTAAAAAGTGACAATTGGGCTCGGTGCCTATAGCTCAACCGGCTAAGGCACCAGCCATGTACACCTAAGGTGGCGGGTTCGAATCCCCAGCCTGGACCCGCCAAACAACAATGACAATATTTAAAAATATTTAATCATGGCTTGGCGCC